CCTGCTGAAGACACAGGCTGAGCCCTGGCTGAGTGCTGGGTTTCAGGACACAGGAGCTCCTTTGCACAAGCAGGTTCTGGTCTGCAGATTCACAGGGTCCCTCACAGTGTTTCACAGCTTCACCCCTGGAATGCTCCCTCTGCCAAGCACACAGCAGCTCTGGGAATCCCTGGCAGTGTTCACAGCAGCAGCTGAATGAACCTACCACTGGTTTCCTGTGGATGTTCAGGATGTGGATGTCCTCGCTGCGATACTCCTCATCATGCTTATCCAGGGGAATTGTTTCCAGCTCAAAGTCCACCTGAAGCAGCTGGTTATCAGAGAACACACAAAACAATTCCAGTGACACTGATGTTCCCTTGACCTAAGTGTGATGAGTTAAAAGGTCCCACAGTGCACCCACTGGAGGGCAGGATGCCTCAGGAGGCTGGAGCCACCAGGCTCAGACCATTCCACTAAAGGACTCTACAAACATGTAAGAAATGTTTTCCCCCATGCAGCTCATTTACCCTTGTTTTAATTATTCCTGTGCCAATTAAAAGCTTCAGACACCTTGTAACATTTAAGAAAAACCTCAAAGCTTGTCATACAACATCTTGCTCCCTCCAACCTCCAAAAGGCAGAACCAAACCACCTCTGCCAACCTTCTCAAAATGGAGGGGGGGAAAGAAGGCTAAATAACCCAGCAATGACTCCACAAAGTGCTCAGCAGATTAACTTGGCTGAACCCTGGCAAGCTAAGGAAGGAAATAAGCTCCAAAAAAGCTGAAATAACCCAGAAACATGTACTGTGTTTGCTGTGGGTGCAGCACCCCAGCACAGCTGAGCAGCAGAGCAGCACCCCCTCACAGTCAGGGCCTCACCAGAGTTCAAGGCCAGGCTAATTATCAAAGAGGTGCTTTTATTAAGACGTACAAATGGCCCTGGAATTCTTGCCCTTCCCCTTTTTTGTAGTATTATTATTATGGAGAATCCATTGTAAAGTACCATTATTAATCCTGCACAAGGGCTGCTTTTCAGCAGGTTTCACAGGTGCAGAGTTGAATCCTGCACTGTCATCCTCACAACCTCAGAAGGGATTCAGCTGTTACCTGTGCTCCTTCACCTGCACAGAAGATACAGCTGGACTAATAACCTGTACCACCTATCAACACCCTATCAGTAGAGGGGTGAAATCTTTGCAGAAGCAGCTGTATCACTTAGCAGAGACCCCTGAGTTCCTGAGCTACTCTGAAATCTTTACCTGTTTTCCCTTTGCTTTCGATGAAAAACACTAAAAGAAAATAAATTTTCACCAGCCTGATTTAATCCTCCCAATAACCTCTGGAAACATCAGGAGACTGCAGAATGAAGGCTAATTCACTTGCTCCTACAAACACAAGGATTTTGGTTTGGCAGCTACTGTCTTTTGCAAACCTGGAAGGCAGCACAAGCCAGAGAGGCTTTGAGCACCCTGTGCACATCTGGGTGCCTGGATCAAAAGCTCCCACATAGTTCAGGTCAGCCAGGAAGGCAAGAACAATTAGTTTGACCTTTTGAAGAAAAGCAAGCTCAGCACATATTGACAATCTCTACTGGTAGGTTGGACAGTGTCTTGCAGAGACACCATCCAAATCTTCTGCCCCACCTCAAGACAAACATGCTCCTCCTGCTAACAAACCCTACTCTGTGCACCCCCTGAATTCGTACGTGTAGCAATTGCCGCTGATGTTCAGCTGATCCAATCCAAAGACTTCCTGCATCCAAGCTGTCTTCCCAGAGTTCAAAAGCACACGTTAAAAACACTCACCTCAAAGTACTTCCTCTCGATTTCAGGATTCTTTCCCATAGTCCTCTGTTCATAACAGCACAAGACACAGGTGTCGGGGCCTGTGAGGTCCCTCAGCGTCTTCAGCAGCGGCTCTAACGACTGCCCAGAAAAGGTTAAGTGTTTCTCACTTAGATTTCAAGTTCATTTTACTGGTATGATACCCTCTAACTAGAGAAAGTCTTCACCCAAGAGAGAACTTTCCCAGTTTTGCTTTTCAGGGAGTTATTTTTAGGACTTTATCTAGGACAAAAAGAACATGGGGGCAAACTGGGAAGCAGAGGAGAAAGTGAGACAGCACAGGAGAAGAGTTTCACAGACTGACCAAAGAAACTGAACCAGCATCAAAGCCAGAAAGCCCCCACACTGCTGGGTGGGCATCTCCCTAAAGCACTCAGGAATCACTATTGCTTGACGTGTTTCAAGAGTGACTTTTCTCCACCATTCTTGGACCATGGCTCAGATCCAGACCACTAGGTATGGAAACAGGACCAAGATGCAGGAAGCCAACACCACGGGCTGGTAGGACCATTGAAGGGGCACTGGGACATGGGGTTCTTTGGGTCACTTCCCTTTTCTTGCAAACTGCTGTCAGCTCTCAGGGCACACCCTACAGCCCCAGCTCAGGAGATGGGGCAGACTACAACAACCACCTGGCTGGAGCAAGACTTCTCCTTCTGCCTTCCTACAGAAAGCATGAGGAGCACCCAAACCATGCAGACGTGGCACTGTTACATTTCATTCACCAATGTATTAAACAGTTTGCAACTCCCATCCACCACGTTTTGCTTCACACTTCATCCCCAATACAAAAAAACAAAAAAAAGCAGGAAGGGAGGGCAGGAGAAGGCACAAATATTAAGTTTGGGGTGTTTTTAACATTAAAAAAAAGTCTCTGGTTGAATCTCAAATGCCCTTGGATGTGTTAAAAATGCCCTTTCCAATCTTGTACTTGTTTCTTTAAACAATGGGGACCAAATTGCAAGCACAGTATTTATTTGCACACCTCTCATGCTGAGCCCACATCCTTCCCAAGGTAACAGGGGTTTTGCAAAGTGCTCATTTACCTCCTCGTAGTAAATGCAATCAGCCATGAGTATGTAATCAGGGGGAGGCTGAAATTCTGTTACATCTTCACCCCTGAACAGAAGACAAGAAAGGTGAAAACAAACTTCAGCAATAATACACACATAGGTTCATAGGATGCCCTGTTGGAAAGGACCTCAAGGATCACCTGGCCCAGCCTTTCCAGGCAGGCACAGGGTTTAGGTAGGATCTCCCAGCAGCCTGTCAAGCTGAGCCTTAAAAGCCTCCAGTGTTGGGGGATCCACCACTTCCCTGGGAAGATGATTCCAGTGTCCAACAATTACCTCCAACATGAGTAGAAGCCTGGGCAGAATATTAAGTACACAAACACACTGAGGGGGAGAACAAGGAGTCTTGGGGAGACGGTCATAAAGTGGATTACAAAACGCCAATAAGTGAGGATGGGCTGGAAGCTCATGAGCAACAGGCTCTGGAAAGTGACATCTTGCTGTTCACAGGAGAGACTACAATGGTGCTGAGTTGATGGAGCTATGCCATGGCCTACCGGGATGTGCAGACCAGATGGGTGACCACAAACCAGGAGGAATTTTAGTACTTGAAACAGGTAAAAGAGTGTGTTGGCATAGACAGGAGAACACAGTGAAGACAGAAGATGTCACAGTATTTAAACTGATTGTCATTGCACAGTGGCAGAGAAGCAAGACCCACAGAGCCATGTTAGGGACTGCACTGGGCAGCAGTCAGACAACAGGAAGACACCAACGACATTTGGAAAAGCAGGACTGTAAAAGCTACCAAGTCATTCTGCAGCCACTCAGCGTTATGAGGAGGGATGCTCTGGAACAGCCTTGATTAGAGAAGAGTGAAGCAGATGTACTTTTGAAAGGGGAGTTTCACAATAGTCCAATCAGTCTAGCAATGAGTGATAACACTCATTGAACACCTTGCCCATGGAAATCACACAGAGAAAGACCTACAGGAAGCCTTTCTGACAGACAGCAAAGGGCTGTCAGGTGAAACTAGCTTGGACAAACTCAGAGATGTCCTCGTGTCTGCACCTCTGCTCTGGGACCAAATTGGCATCACCTCCCCAGTATTCCTATATCCCATGACCACAAGCCAATCTCTTCAGATCAGCCAGAGGGAGGAAATGTCCCTAATCCCAGTGCTAGCAAAATATCTTTTCCACCATTTCTAGTTTCTAAGCACAACACTTTTGTGCTTTTAAGGTGCAGCCACTCAAAAGATCCATCTTCCAGAGTTTCTCACCAGTCTTTCTCCATAACTGCTGGTGTCCAAATTTCACCAGAAGTTGCCTGGCCCTGCTCTGCATGCACCTTGTTGAGTCAGAGAGCTTTGCTTTGCTATCTTTCCATGTGTTATTAATAGCCCTGCAGAAAAAAATACAATTTTGGGGTACAGAACATACTCATTTCAGATTAATTTTCCACACCTGACACCTTTTCACATTCAGAACCTCGTTCAAGCAGGGAAGATGAAATCAGAGGTAGGAGAAACTCTTCCATTCATACCTCATTGCCCATTCTTATGCACACAGCTTTTTCTAACTGATCCAAGGAATCCACCTAGAACAAGCCCTACCTGTGGTATCTCCACTGTCTCTCCAAAAGACACTCTACGATGTTGCTGCTGAGTGTTTCCAAGAGTCACTGTAAAGACTTCTTTGTGCAGTCTCTCCCACTACTACTACTCGTGTTGTCCTGAGAATCCCACCCCAGCTTCCTGCATCCAACACTCAGGAAAATTATCACCTCCTACCATCACTTAGTGGAACCACTATGGCTGAGATTAGAAAGCCAGCATCTGCTCACTACTGATTATTTTTATCTCAGTGATTCCTGTCAGGTACACAGATTCTCCCTAGACTTAAAAGAGGGTTTGACAGGGCAATCCACTTAGCCAGCACGTATGATGCTGCTGCTTCTGTGTCAGATCAGCACACATGCCATTTGCCTTTAAATCAGTCCATTAGCTCATGCAGCAGAGTTACATGCTGCAGCTCCCAGTCTCCAGCCATGATGCTGGCCTAGAATGGGAGTATGGCCATTAGCAGGGTGTCATGCAAGTCTGTGTGGTGACAACAGAGCTGTGTCAAACTGCTGTAAACCCACCTCACAAGCCCTATGCCTTTGCACAAAGGTCAGCCCCATTGGCATGCTCTCCACTCCTCAGCCAGTTTTCCCACAAAACACCTCCATTTGTCAAACATTCAAGCCTCTGATAAGATTCTCAGGACTAGGTCATATCAGAAGACAGACTATTTCTAATTGACTGAAGATATAATGCTTCTATACTCGAAATTGGCTTTTTTTTATCTTCATGCCCTTTTGCAAGCTCTTGCCTAATTTGTCAGCTTGTCACATTCCTCCCTAGGTATCTCTGTATTTCCAGTTGCTGTTTCCCCTACTTGTTCTGCACAGATCCAAACTGTATGTAATTACTTCTTGCCTACGCTCAAGATTTATCCGAGAAGCCTGCTCCTGCACCCGGCAGGAGAACTGGAAGTCTTACCACTGAATTTGAGCACAGCAGGATTAGGCCTGAGCACCCTGGGAAGGTTCTCTCACTATAATTTTCTCTGCTATTTGAATTCATTTCCAAGTTCCCAGATGTGATGCTGGCCCCAAAAGGAAAAGTTTCAGGATCTCCCTTTTCACTGCCCTCTGCTCTGACACTTCACCTTGCCCTTCTGCCATGTATCATAGAATCATAGAATCATAGAATCTTAGGGGCTGGAAGGGACCTCGAGAGATCATCTAGTCCAACCCCCCTGCCAGAGCAGGGTCACCTAGAGTACATCACACAGGAACTCATCCAGGTGGGTTTTGAATGTCTCCAGTGAGGGAGACTCCACAACCTCCCTGGGCAGTCTGTTCCAGTGCTCTGTCACTCTCACAGTAAAAAAATTTTTTCGGATATTCACCTTGAACTTCCTATGCTCCAATTTACACCCATTACCCCTTGTCCTATCACTGGTCATCACCGAGAAAAGCCTAACTCCGTCCCCCTGACACTCACCCCTTACATATTTGTAAACATTGATGAGGTCACCCCTCAGTCTCCTTTTCTCCAAGCTAAAGAGACCCAGCTCCCTCAGCCTTTCCTCAGCAGGGAGATGTTCCACTCCCCTAATCATCTTTGTAGCTCTGCCCTGGACTCTTTCGAGCACATTATGCACATTAACGTGTTACCTGGAGCACCTGGGCAGCCCCGTGCTGGGCTCACACCAGGCCTCCCTCTGCAGGAGGAACCTCCCTTTGGAGCCCACATGCAGGGACTCACCTGGCAGCAAGTCAGACCTTCCCGCTGCAGCCCATCCAGACTAACAAAGGCATCAATCACCAGCCAGAGGAACGACACCTGTGAAGAAAATGTTCCAGGAGTGAACTGGCTGAAGGTTCACACGCAGCGATTCAAAATCCAGTTCACAACTTAGTGCAGCCTGTAAGAAATCATTGGGTGTTGCAGACCCCCATCCAGCATTTAAACTTACACAAAGGTTTTTAAAAAGCAGCTGAATATGGGTTGGCTGTGCGTTAACACTTGTCAGTGCAAAGGTTTTTGGGGTTTCTGATTATTTTTTTTGTCCTTAGACACATGGAGGAAAATTCTTGTAACTTTTATTTCCTAGCATTTCTTACTAATGCTCCCTCCCTTCCCCAGGGAGGAGTTACTGCATTTTCTAGGGATTCTGAAGGGCATATACTGACCTGTTGTAAATCTGGGAAAAAAAGGTAAGAAACAAGAGATGTCTGGAATTTTTTCCCTTTTTTTTTTTTTTTTTTTTTTTTTTTTTTATCTGCTATAGCCAAGTCATAGCACCCCAAGAAGTTACTCCAGCTCCAGAGCAGGGTGTAATGCCAAAAGTCAGTAACTCAAAACACTGTTTCTTTTGCTGTTAACTGCCTTCACTTCCATCTGTTGATCTGCACTTTTCTGAGGGAACTGCCTTTTCCCACACAAGACAACTTCAAACCCAGCAATTTCATGTTTTCCCCCTCTATCTTTTTTATTGATCCCTCTAATTACGAAGGAACCAAAATGCCAGTTTCTTGCTATCTTGGCATTCCCTCCAACCAACACTGGTGGGAATCTGACTGCCTTTGACCACTTCCATGGCCACACAGTCCCCTCCTCTGGGAATGTGCTGCTGTACCCACCGTACTGCTGGAATCCCTGCCTGGGAACGCTGCTTTGGTTTTGGTGTTTTCCAGCTCCTGTTCTGCACGGAGCACAGTGTAATTGCATGGGAAGCTTTCCATAAGCAAGGCTCCTTTCCTAAATCATGCTGCTGAGACTGAAGTGCTTCAGGTTATCTCCAGAACTGGCCTGGAAAGGTAAGAGTCGTGTTTCACGCGTGGGAAATGCGCCCAGAAGGCTGCTCAGCTGCTGCTTTCCAGCACAAGTACCTCGTGTTCGTATTATTGCCCCAGCCGGGAGATCTAGTGTAAGAGGTTCCTGCTCTCCTCATCCCTCTGGAGCTTTATTGTCCCAGCACTGCTCTTCAGCAGCTGTGGGTAGTGATGCTTTAAGCCCAGCCTGCAAAAAAGCCCATAGGATCATCTTCCATATCCAGCTTGGAGCACAACCCTGTGCAGTTGAAAGGGCACTGGGGGGAGAAGAGATGGGTGGCTGAGGAAGGCAACCAGGTCAGGGACTTGCTTAACAAGGACCTGCCACTAGGAAAACAGCAACATGGACATGCAGGCTTATGTATGTCCTGTTGGTCCCTGGCAGAGGACACATCTGGAGGGCCCACCAGTGACCATGATCACCTCCTCACTGCCCAGGATATTCCCAGATAGCAGCAAGAAGTCCTGTCAGGAATGCCTACCTGTGTCTCTGTTAACCTCCTGCAGAACAAAGACTCAGGCTTCTAACTTTCTTAACTGCATCACTGAGACTTTGTTAACTTCATCACTATTTTTCCTAATCAAATCATTCTGGGCCCCACTCAAAGTCAGGTAGTTCTTTTTCTCAGGCTTTAAGTATGGAATTTATAGCTGCTGCCCAAAAAACACTCTTTCACCATCAGGTTTAAGAACTAAAGAACTGCTGCACAGTCCCCAGGTCTTTTTGTGGGCTGTCAGCATAAAATAGAAGTAGGCACCTAAAAAAGGCTGTTCTGCAAATGGCACCCCTGCTCAGCATAATTACAAGGTTAACTCTGATAAAGGTACATTTCTGCTTTGACGAGTTGAAACTCTCCTCAGTGTCCATCACAAACCAGAACCCTCCCCAGGGTCTTGATGGAGGGAAGTTCTTTGATACCTATGGAAGCCATTACTAATCAGCAGATCCTCAGCTTAAAATGATCTGGCAAGGGCTTTACAGAGTTAGAACCAAGATGTAAAGCTATGAGACATTTTAATAGGGGATATTGAGAATGCTTCTGGTCCGAACACGTGTACAGGAAGGTGCAACGCTGACATCTGTGTATTCTGAACTTTGGGAAAGGATTTTTCTCCCCTTCAATGACACACAAATGTACAAGTCTGAAAAAACAGCTGCTGCTGAGGACTTCAAGACAGTGAATAGAAGGAACTATATATAAAAAATGTCACTTGTTCAGCTTATTCTGCAATGACTGAAAGGCTGGAACCTGGCAGCCTGCCTTGGCTTTGCAGAGCGTGTTAGGGAAGTCCATCACCAAGTAGAACTTCACCAGACACCAAAAGGAGTTCTTCCCTCACTGACAGAAGAGGACAAACTGTATTCTTGCTGCAGAGGAAGAACCATAATCAAGGCATTGTCCATTTTCTGCCTGCACTCCGAGTCCATGCATCTCAGGTTTGGGACTTCTGGAATGTTATTTTTGCAAGGTGAAGCAGCTCTCCTTTAGGAAGTGTGTCCTGCCCCTTGCACAAATGGCCACGAGGGTGACACCTCAGACAGGTTCTGCCCCCCATCTTACCCAGGAAAGGAGCAGAAAGAGGACAGGCAGTAGAAGACTGTCCAAGAGACAGATGGCAGATCCCAGAAGACAAGCAGCACCCCTGCTCAGGCGTATCACCTCTCCTTCTCCAGAGGGAACGCCCGAGACGGTGGGAGCGATACAGGCAGGCTGACAGAAAAGCCAGTGTGAGCAGGAAGGGTGAGCTGCTGCAAATCTCACCACGGTGCTCTTCTTCCAGCCAGGAGCCAGAAAACATGGAAACCACTTCTCCATCTAGAGGGGTTGTGGCATCTGATGGGAGAGTAGGTGGAAGGAAAGGTTAAGCTCTCAGGGAGCTGTCGTGTGTTGGGAAACTGAAAAATACCCAGAGCTGAGAGAAGCAGCACAGAAAACTGGGACACTCTGTTATTACCACAGACTTACTACATGCAATTCCCAACCTTGTCCTTATAAGGAACACACACTGCTCAAGCTCTTAAAAATTAAGACTGGGGTGATTTATTAATCTTGTTAAGAACTCTGATACAAAGCACAGTAAAAGGCCACAGACCAGTAAATAAAATGTGGCTTCTGGCCACTTTATAAATGCTGCTACAGTACTACCAGTAAAACAGACTCACTCTCACACCAGTTCTAACAAGTAGTTTAACTGGCAAATAAAAGTTCCATTCACTTATCAGTTTAAAAAGTTTAATAAAGCTTTTAAGTGTTTGCTGGTTTAAATGCTACCAACTTCCAAAAATGGATTCACGATTAAGTGAGATCTAAAGAAAAGTTATCAGGTTTGGAAGGCAAGACTGTTCCTAAGCCAGAGGAAACACTTCTGACCGTTTAAGATTGCAAGAGTAGCAGACTGTATTATAGGCCTCAAGTCACTTCAATTTATACAGGTTATTAGCATTATCTGTAAATATACAATATAAACAATTGTACATACACGGCATATAGCTTTGTTCTCCAGAACAGTAGACAACTCTTTAGCTTAAGACATCTTTGCCTACCAAAACAAAAAGGCACATCTGAGCAAGACGCATGCTAAGGGCGAGGGATCCTTTCCAATATCCACGCCAGGCAGTCCTTGTCTGTCCTTTCTCAAAAAAAAACAATGATAAAAAAAATGAAGAGCAACTGAATATTTTGGTATTTCGATCTCAAACCTGTTGTTTTTGTCTTCAGCAGCAAATCAGTGGCGATTAAGACACGGCATTAAAACATTCAAGGACAGGGAGCTGTGACTCCCCAACCTCTGAGCTTACAAAAAGCTGGAAGGCAAGTGGCCAGAGGTTTAAAATCAGCAACACTGCAACGTCCCGGAGCTGCGTAACCATCCGCAGCTTTTCTTTGTAAATGTTTTAAAAAGAAACAACAACAAAAAAGGCCACTAGTGCTCGAATTTGAAAAAGATTCCACAGACACACCTTTTGTTTTTGGCTCAGTGCAATTACAACAATGTCAGTTTGAACTCATTTAGTGTAGTTGTACAGTGCAAAGAGAGACGTTTTGTGTACTGGCATGAGGGTGGGCACTGAGGCTGTGCCAGGAGCCCAGGCTGCTGATCACCTGAGGGTGCAGGACACAGTCTGTCTGGTCTGACTTGAGTCTGACTTCTCTTGGGATTTTTTTCCCCCCAATTTTAAGTTTTGTTTTTGTTTTTTTTTGTCTTTTGATCAGCAGCAGTTGAAGAGCTGAAAGTACTAAACCACACTGCCTTTTTTGAATAAATTAAAAAACAAACCAACAACCCCCCCAAAACGAAACAACGAAAACAACAACAACAAAAAAGGAACTTTACAAATACTATTCCAGTGTCGACGACTACGAGGGCGAAGGTCATTGAGGAGTTTCTGCGTTCTCGAGCAAAGACAGTCTGTGCAAAGGAGGGTGGGAGAGCTCCCTTTTGTAAGTCTTTGGCGGCAGTTTGGGCAGCTGAGGGCTGGAGTTGTGCCGGGGAGGGACGGGGGGCGCGGGCGGGTGGCCCAGGGGGC